TTTTCTGAGTTGATAGTTTGGTTCCCTACACTGATGACACATAGTGCTTGCGTTCATTTGTGACAGATCACACTCCAATCCTTCTCCCCTCCACATCTTCATCTAAAACTAGGATTCCAGCTGTGTCACTCTTCAACTCCATTCCCAAACTTGCTAGAACCCAACAGCTGCCTTCCTACTCAGCCCTACCAAATTCAACTCGACACCTCTTCGTTTTCAATACCTCAGTCAAGTACCCACCACTCTGCTCCTTTAAAATAGATAAAAAAATACAGAACCATAAAGCAGTATTAATCTGATATTAAGTACACACACAATGAGAGAGACAACTGGAAGAATGGAAAGTACTTCCCTTTTGTAAGAGTGGAGGGGTATAAGAACACTGCTAGAAACCTCTGAAACAAATGACAGACACCTTGGTAATTCATACAGCTACAAAAGCCACTGAGTAGATGTTCCTGTCTTCACCAACACTTCAGAAGCAAAGGAACCTTCTCTCTCTCAACCCATACATATGATCAAGCACTATGGGCAGCATTTTATCTAACTGAACAAATCAGTGTTGTTTGAAGATAAAGACTTTTTTCTTATCTATTCTATAAACTGAACTACTCAAAAAAAGCTTTCACCAAGGACTACATAGTCAGGAGATTAGAGGCAGTTGCAGGGACTGGTAAAATATAATAAGCCATGCACATTGTTATAGCAGAAAATTCTAATGGGCAGCACTTTCTAACACCAGTTTGTAATTCCATAAAATGCAATTACACCACAGGCATTAATGGCTTTAATTGAACCAATTACGCTCTAAGAGGTAAAAGACTAAAAATACATACTAAATTATACAAAGTCTTTAGTATAAATAACACTTGGGAGTTAACAAAATACTTGTGGGGAAACATATCACAGATGGTCAAACAACGTAGCACAGTGATATCCTACACAAACACTATCGCTTGGCAATTTTTGTTTGTTTGTTTTAAGCAGATTCTTGTTTAGAGTTCTAAACAGTGTGTATTTGGGTCAAGGCTGAATGTTTCACTATTTATACATCGATTTTCTCCTTCCTCAGAGAAAATGTTCCCTCCTCAACTCAGGGTCAAATTCAGACATTCGGAGAAAGGAAAAATTACGGATTTCTATTTTCCCCATGAGCACCATTTACAATAACAGGCATGACAAAGTATTGAAAAGGGAATGTGATCAGAGGTCTCTTTCTTCCTAGTAGTCCCTCATTTAACTATGTCAGTCCATACTCCATAACTAGGTCCTACCATCACATCTTAGGCATTACATCTTTAGAGAAGCCCTTTGTTCCCATCAAAGCACTCATTCAGCATTTCTCAAGGCTTTATGACAAAGAGAGAAAACAGCCAGCTGCCTAAAGCAAGAAGTTACACTTTAAGAGAGGTTAAAGGAGACAGTCCTTGAAAGCAAAAGGAAAATTTTCAAAACTTGAGGCAACATCATGATTCATTTCATCATGAATCTGGTAACTCTCAAGGTGAATCAGTGTAATCGCACTACTGTTGAATCCAGGCTGATGTGACTAAGGCCTGTCCATCCTTCAGCAATCCCCTCCTCCAAGAAAAAGGAATAACAAAACAAGGCTCAAAGATGTCATGAAGACATGGTCACCATCCTGAGGGTGAAGGAGCACAGCACAGGGCAGGAGAGGCAGATGTGAACCTCAGGAGGAGAGGCCTGCACTTCTCAAGGCATAGACAGGCAAGGACACACCATGGCCTCTGTGTAAAGGCAGCTTCTTATTCCTGGTCTGTCTTCTCCTACCTCTGGCACACAGGTAGGGCCCCAGAGATGGGTTTCCACAGATTAGGTATGAAAAAGCTAACCTGAGGAGGCATGGGTTGCTGATATCTATCTATAATTTTAATCTAAAGGGACAGGTGGGGGGAGTGCCTAAAGAAAAGAATAAGCCAGGCTGTATTCCAAAGTACAGAGGGGAAAAAAGATTAGAAGCAACAAAGTTGCAGCAAGGGAAGTTACAGTATTTAAAAAAAGAATTTTTCACAATGAGTGTAGCCAAACATAGGGAGAGGCTGCCCAAGCAAGCACACCCCCAGAGACACAGCACAAACCAACAAGGTCCTGAGCAATCCAGTCTAACAACAGAAATGGCCTGGCTTTGGCTGTGAGAATAAAACATCACCACCAAGTTAGCTGTGCGTTATACAACAGCCAGGCATACACAGCTATAAAGTCTCCCAGTAACAATAACAGGCCATGCTAATACAGTGCTATGGATAGAAGAGCAGAAAGACTCAAGCCTAAAGGGCAAGTCAGCAACTCGCTGATGTCACTGCCAAAAATAAACCCCAAGTCTTTTATTTTCTTCTCACTTCTACAGAAGAACTGTTACTGAGCAAGACAAAGGGAGGATGAGTTCACATGTTTCTGCACAAGGCATAATATAAGGATCTTCACAGACAAGTGTTTAAAAAGCTTTGATTCTCAAGCATCCTTAATCCTCTGTCGGTCAATCAACTCTTAACACCCAATTGCTCAACAGCACAGAGCATATTCCCGGTTGTTTCATCACAGCCTTTTCCTACACCATGTATGGTGCAGGAAACCAGATCCATTGAGTTACTTCACAACAGTCCCATACCACAGTGATGGGTCACACAACCACCAGTTAAACACATCAGGACCCTTCGGCCTGGAATAAAGATCATGTAGCACCACACTGCTCAGGATTTCATGGACAGTGCACAGAGCTGTGCAGGGCTGTTCACCACCTCCTCCAGCACGGGAACTGGACATAAACAAGAAAGTCTCACATACCGAAGGCCCAAAGAACTGGCTCCTCACACAAGCATCAATTAGGCTGCAAAACTCCTTTCTCCTGAGCACTCTTGATGAAAGGCCTCCAGATAAAAAACACCTGAGGCTATTAAATACAGACTGAATCACAATTCATAGCACCTGGAATGAGCATTGCATGGAGACACCAACAGGTATTTTCCTGTGCTTACAACTCCTCCTCCTTGGCACTCTCTACCAACCACAAAATGCACTGCTTGTTTGGGCTTAGAACAAGACATCTAATTTACCACAGGTTGCCACAAAAGTTTTCCCTAATGTTTTTAAACATTACACGTTTCCACAATATTTCTATGGCAAGGGACCAGTTGGAAGTTCAGAAGCCAGAAAGTGACAAGATACAGACAGGACCAGTTCAATCCTCAAGGTGCACAAACCTGAGAAGTACACAAACATTTTGCAAACTCACTCTGTTCAGTACAGCTACCCTATCCTCAGAAATACAAATATCATTATCCACAATCACTTAGATGGCAGGCACATTGGGGAAACCCAAATGTTTTAATGAACGGTTTTATTAAGAGCCAGATCTGCCCACTTATTAATTCCTATACCCTGGTACCCCACTGAAAGAATTAGGTGTTTTACAACACTGCATGCGTGACTAGAAGCTTGTCAGGAACCACTGTTTAAAACACTCAGTTGTTCTTTCATTAAGAGATTACTACATACACTGCAAGGCAGCCTAATAGTTTACTTAATTCTTAATCCCATTTTAACAAGATCTAGCCTTACCACCATTCAATACCAGAACCCCAGAGGACAGACACCTAGTAATGCTAAACCACATAGAATACAGTAACAGAAAAAAAAAAAAAACAAAGACTTTGGGGGGAGGGAATCAAATTCCTTCTTGCATCCCTTCCACACACAGAGATTTGTCCAGACTTCTGAGATACAGGGCAGTATTGGGCAGTATTACAATTATCTTGATTATCAGAGGACTGCTAGTGAAACACAAGACATAAATGTGTGGCATAAAAGCTCCCAATCGCTCTGTTCACTCGGCCGGTGAGGCTACAGCAGCTTTTTCAGGCCTGCAGCCTGGCTGTGCAGGACACAGGCCGCCTCTGCCCGCGCTGCTGCTGGCAGGCTTTCACCCAGGCCCTGGCCAGAGGGTTGGTGTCACAGTTCCCATCGAGAGGCACAAAAAAAGGGATACTCAGACCGACAACCTGGCACCAACCTAACGCATGCTCTGCTACTTCACCCACTGCAGGTCTGCTGAACAGCTGAGCTGGCGGTTCGGGGCTATCTCAAAACACACGCCTGCAGGAAAATTCTCCAGAAAGACGAGATTCTGGAGTAGTTTCTTTATGGATTACCACAGCTAGATTGAAAAACACTTTTATTAGCAACAGCGGCTCTGCGCACCACCCTCGTGTACTGACTCCATCCAGCTCTGGGTGCAATCCCCTCCCCAACACAGGAGGGGCATTGACCCGTTCCAGCAAGTCCAGAAGAGGCCACCAAATTGATCAGAGTGATGGATTATCTCTCCTATGGGGAAAGCCTGAATTAGGATTGTTCATCCTGGGAAAGAGAAAGCTTCAGCGTGACCTAATTGTGGCCTTCCAGTACCTGAAGGGAACTTAAAGGAAAGGTAGAGATGGACTATTTGCTAGAGCGTGTAGTGACAGGACAAGGGGGAACAGATTCAAACTGAAAGAGAGCATGCTTTGATTCGATACTGGAAAAAAATTCTTTACTGTGAGAGCAGGGAGGCACTGGAACAGACTCCCCAGGGAAGCTACGGATGCCCCATCCCTGGAAACGTTCGAGGCCAGCCTGGATGTAAACTCTGAGCAACTCAGTCTTGGGGAGTGGGGGGGGTGGGGTGTTGAAAAACAGATGATCTCTAAAGGTCTCTTCCAGCCTCGGCTACTCTGTGATTCCATGATTCTCGCAAGGTGCCCCCAGCTGCGCCCCACGGGGCCCGGCTCGCCGGGGACCCGCCGCCGCCCCACCGGCGCGGCCGGGAGGGCCCGCGGGGCGCAGTGCGGACACCCCGGGCCGGGATGAGCCGGGTCGCGGCGGGACCCGCCAGCCCCGCGGCCGAGGCCTCCCCGCAGCCGCGCAGCCCGGGGAGGCCCCGCCGGGCCCCGGCGGCGGCTCCGCCCGCACCGGAAGGGCAGCGGAGCCGCCCCGGCCGAGGGGAGGGGACAGCGGGGCGGGCGGGCGGCTCTTCGCGGCGCTCCCCCCATGGCGGTACCTGCGCTCGAAGTCGGTCCGGAAGGGCGTCAGGTAAGGGTCCCGCTCCAGCAGCCGCTGCAGCTGCGGGGGCTCCTTGCTGGCGGCGGCCATGTCGCCGCCGCGGGCTCCGCCTGGTCCGCGCCGCCGCTAAATACCCGCGGGGAGGGGGCCGGGGCCGGGCCCGCCGCCCCTGCCGCTCCTGCCGCTCCTGCCCATCCCCGCCCGGCGCCGCCCCCTGCCCGGGACCGCCCGGGGCCGCCCCGCCCCGCGCCGCGGCCGCACGGCCCTGCTGGGTTTGGCAGCCCCGGTGTCCCGGAGAGAGTGACACCAAGGGAAATAAAAAAAAAATCTGCGGTTAAAAAAAAAAAAAAAAAAAAAAAAAAAGGGCATCTCCCCGAGCCGACCCATCGCAGGAGGAGGAGACGGGAGGGCAGAGGGAGGGGGGGCTCTGCCTGCCGCCGGTCCGCGGTTCCCCCGATTTGTTTTCTTAGTGGCGCTTTGATGTGGTTTTTTTTTCAACGTGTCAGCGGCAGGGTGAACACTGCGTTCCCACATACACACACACACAGACGCAACACCCACCCCGCAGCCAACAGCACCACCACCACCGCCCCCAAAAGTGATTTGGCATCATCGTCAGCGCTGGAATAAATTTCTCGGCTGGCGTGCTCACAGGCAGCTCAGCAAAACAAGACTCCGGGCATCCGTGAGTTTATCTCGTAAACACCCCTGTCTGTACAGCAAAAATGTCTCTTTACCGGACTCACGAAAAAAATCCTGCACAAAGTAAGATTAATTCAACTGATCCCAGTGCAGCTCTAAATGCTGAGTAGCACAGGTAGTTTTTGGTAGCTGTGGAAGTTTTTGACCTCATATCAGCATGTCTCGTTTTTTGGATAGGCCACCGAATATCCAAGGCAACTAATCACCAGCCTGACCATGCCTCTAGGCCAGCATTGAGCACTTTTATTTAAGGTCCAGCAATTTTGCTTTGTTTAGACATGTAGTGAGAAAGTTTATTTAGAGGCCTCTTTTGAATGCTTTTCAGCCATGGTTAATAAACTTTTCAGGTCCTAGATACCTTACTCATTTCCACAACCATCCCCATAATTTTTATCCTCGGTTTGTAACTCATCCCCCCCTATCTTGGCTTTCTTGAATTTAAGTGCTGCTTCCCCTTCCTGTCTGCCAGACAAATAACAGGACAGTGTGTGGTGAACAGTTCATTTATTACATTACCCAAAACTGGCTACAGTGAAAGTTTCTGTATTGATTTCTTCCCTCAACAATGTGTGTACATTTAACTACGCTGTATTTCCTTGCAGCAGTTCCTATCTACACAGGCAAAAATCCAAGTATGTATGTCCTTTTTCCCTTGTGGATGGAGTGCAACAAGTATTCTCTGTCCTAGGAATATGTAGGGCAATAGTCATACTGTTTACTAGAACAGTTGCCCCGGGAGGAGGCCCAAGCAGTTTTGCTTTGCTTATTGTAGAAGTAGTATCTATGCTGTAGAACTACCTGTCATATCCAGCCCTGATAGATCAGGATTTCTTTTTTCTTTAGTGGTCACCATTTCTTCAGTCTCCTTGGAGACTGAAAAACTGTTGTTAAAATTACCTGAGCTTCTCAAAACTTTCTGTATGGCAGTGATTTCAGTGTGTGTGCTAAACCAAAGTTTAACAAGTCTTATCCTCATGGTATGTACATGGTGTTTTTTTGCAAATGGGTCACCCTCATTCTCACAGTTTGGCAGACTAAAAGGAGGAGAGAAGTTCCAGCTGATTAGCAAGAACTAGTCTTGGGTTTTTGGTTTGGTTTGTTTTTTTACAATAGTTGCATATTACCTGTGCTGCTGCTTTGGAGTTTCTGGGTCTTTGGTACTGGAGAGGTCACCTGCTGTTGAAGTGGAGGTAGGAGAGCAATTCCTGTAGTCTTTGAATGCACAAATGCTGGAAACAGAAGCTTCACTCTTCTTTGGTTTTATTAATTGTCTCTTTGGTTTTATTAATTGTCAGGAAGCTCAAGCAGGTTCACGACAGCGTTATCAGCTGTTTGGCATAAATACAAGAGAGAGATTTATAAATTAGCAATTTGTGCAGGAATCTGTCTGTGACTTGCACCTCCTTGAAGACGGGGACCCCTTTTTAACCTTCATTTGGAAGTTTTTAAGTAGAAATGACACAGTATCCAGCCTCATATACAAGCAACTTTGTACTTCAGGAAGTTCTGCAAATAACCCATGTCCCTACAACAGACAAAACCCAAGTGCTATATTTAACACTCTGTGAACTGGGAAATGGATAACCATACCAGTTTTGTCTACTCATGTTTCATTTTACAACTTGGGTGTGATTTTATCTACCTGCTTTATCAAAAAGTAACTCAAAAACACTAAGGCATACATTATTGTGATCATCTATTACACCATGAACCTGTTGAGACTCAAAGGCCGAGGTTGACTCTCAGAACACTGCCATTTAGTCCTCTACCTGGAGGCAAAAACAGCAGTTCAGACAATTAATATTGTCCCAACAGCTGAATGTGTCTTTGTGCATTTGTCAGAGATGGATACAAAGCTACCAGCTGCTGCTGCCAGTAGGAATAGGAAGAGGAGGACTGTTGGGTATAAACTGCTCTTTTGTGGGGACAGCAGTGGATTGTACAGGAGTGGTGTCTAAGGCGTGTGTCTGGCACCCAGTTACCAGTAGGGCTGGACTTTATCAGTTACTCTAAACTAGTCTTTCAAAGGATGCTCATGTAGTTATGTATACTTGAAAATTTTGCATAGCAATATTGAGCAGTAACTGTAAAGTTACAATTGTTATAACATCAATTTAGTTGAATATGAAAAGTTCAAACAGAAATCAAAGGTTTGGGTTAAAAACCACCGAAGATCGTGAAAGCATTGAAGAGAAAAATGTCTACCCCTGTCACACAGTATTTCTATTTTGATGCACTAATATTTTGCACTTACTTTACAAAAGATGACAAAGATGCTGAACTTGAGGAAAAAAGTTAGGAAAAAATCCTTTTTTTTTCACTAAGGCACTGATTCAGATTCTCCCTCGTCAGTAATGTCTGTTCTTATCTCAACCAGAATGGATCTGTGCAGTCTCTGGCCTTGACTGGTTCTTGCAGAACCAGTTCCTGAGTTCCAGGTTCTTCTAAACCAAGTGGCTTAGAGCAGCCCTGGTCCCTGGGCCTGGCCTGGCTCTGTAAGATGCTTCTAAGCCTGTCAGAGTCGTCTTTGGTGTACAGGCTTCTGTTCTGCAGCTGTCACGGATGACTCCTAATTTACAGACTGCCCAATCCCACAGTTCAATCTGTCTGAGAAGAGATGGCAGGTACCAAAGACAGCAGGCTATTTTTTAACTGTTGTGTTGAGAACATTTAAGAATTGCTAATCTCTCAAAGTGACAAGTTACAAGGCACGTCCTTTGTATGTTTAAATTCAAGATACTTAAAAGCTATATTGAAGATTTGTCATCATTTCAGTCTAGGCAGAACTCCTCCCAGCACCTTTTCCTGGAAGTCTTTTAACATGTAGTTATGATTGGCCCACTTTGTTTGCTTGCATGTGAGGAGATTAATGCATTTTTTTATTGCCATTGCACCTTCCTTAAAGTGTTTTAAATACAAGAGGTAGTCCATGAGAAACAGGAACACAAACTGTCACTTGTGCCTATACTGGATCTCACAGTGTGCACTATCAAGAAAAATGTTCCTGTGGACAGAGACAGCTGTTCAAAAAGATTCATGTTTCAGCATTCCAGAAGAATGGATTCTTGAAGGATCCCTTGTATGCTTTATACAGGTGTCAAACATCTGAGCATGTTATGGTACACATTGCAGCTTCCCACTTTTGGACTGGCTTCTGCACATTCAGTACATAACACGAAATGGAGTTCAGAATTTGAAAGAAAATTAGCTTGCTTTGCCACATTGGCCAGCTGTACTTCTCCCTGTTATTTGTTCAAGGATCCATAAGAAATTAATTGCACAGTTGTCATCCAGATCCAATGCAAATGCCCCCCTTAAAAAAAAAATTATCCTTTATCTCGATAATCTTCCCAGACACATCAAACATTGGTCATGGAGATTTAGCTCATTGCAGGGGGGTTGGAGTAGGTGACCTTTAGAGGTCCCCTCCAACCCAAATTATTCTGTGATCCTATGACACGTATCCCTATGTTTGGATTCGCCAAGGTGAGACACGTTGGAGAAAAGAAAAGGCCAGTGCTGCACAGCTGCTGGCAAACATCACGTCACAGTTCCATAATTAACACTGTACTTCAAGCAAAGAGTCAGCTGTTCGATTACACAGTGAGAACAAAGCACATATCCTTGAAAATCGCAGCAAACATTCCAAGTGTCTGTTGCTATATCGTTTATAGGTTGGGGTTTCATAAGAAATGTAGGGTATTGATATTATGTTTTAAGGTTTTACCTTTGCCCTGTCATGGTATCGGGAGCTTTGTACAACAACACATCTTCAAAGATCCAAACTAAAGTACAATCTGAAATACTAAAAAGCCAGATTTAGTGTTGGAAAATTCCGGTAAGCACAGTCAATGGGAATGCCATTTTCACTTACCATTCTGAGAAAAATAAAAACACATTCCAACAACTTGAAAGTCCTAAGTAATGATTGTTTTCATGATATTACAGTGTTATTATATTTGGTGTCCTTATTTTATACAACAGAATATCAAAAAATGTAAATATTTTTCAAAGTATTTTATGCATTAATCAAGACACTTCAAAAAGTGATGCCAATTTAAAAATATCAGCAGATGCAGAAAATATTTGTTGTGAAAATGCCTGATTCTTACTAAAAAATCAAGTAAGAATTTGTGAAACACTTCACAGATACAAAATACAAGCAAACTTAAGGAATATCATATTTTTTAGATGTTGTGTATACTCTGTTGTTTGTATGCCTTCTATATCTATTTCTCAAAAATAATTACTGCCAATAGTAACAACCTTCTACAACTCCTAATACTGCTATTTCTTGGTGTTTGCATATGTGTTTATGTTTTGGGGGAAGAACAAAAAACTTTCAGACTCTCTCCTTAACTCCATACCCATAATACTTGACAATGTGCCAATGTATGTTTAACACTTAAAAAATAAGCAGCTTGAGCTCTCGGGGATAGTTGTCCCAGAGGAACATTCTTGCTGTTATTGCAGTGGGATTCTGTAACAATATATTACTCTTAAACAAGCAACTTGTTAACAGTAACCAAACATTGAGTGCTTTGTATCCAATACGCTTAGAATTAAGAATGAAATAACCACAGCTTCAGCACCAATTTTGCTTTCTTGTTGTTCATAGTCAGGTCTTTCCTAAAATCCCAGAGAAATGGTTTTACCTAGGGTGTTTCTCTTAGACTGGCTGCATAGTCTCACATTCCTGCCTGAAGCACTGCAGACGTTTAGGCTGCCTCGCCTTTCACTCAGACAAGAAAGTGAGATTGCCACATAATCGTTCAGAGGGTAACACATCTAATCCTTCGGGAGGTCAAGTGAGATGAGGAGAAAGGAGGAGATGCATAGTGCTAATGCTCTGGCAGCTCTGTCAATTCGTTAGTATATGTGGAACTATTTTAGTTTTCAAAAAACAGAATAGTACCTAAGTTGCATTCATGAATTTGTGTACTGAGCTCACTGCAGGGAAAAGCGGGAGAATCTGGTGCAAACTGTGTGTGAAGGGCAGAACTTTTGGAAGTTCAAAATCCTTTCCACAGACAGTCTTTTAGATCTTGTCAGCATCAGTTCTGATTTACTTTTGCAGTTGGTGGCAGTTGATCCAGGCGGTTCTTAGGTGTAACCAGTAGTGTTTTGAATGAACAGAAAGATGGGACAGTTCTTTAGTGCTACACTCAAAATCTTGCTCTAGTCAGAACACCATACATAGAACTAAGAATTTGCTGTTAGTCCAGTGAATATTTAACAGATTCATTGTCCAAGAGATCTGATTAACTTAGGGGGTGGGGTAGGAGGTGGGGGGGAAACCCAAAAAACAAACTAATAGTGCAATTTAACTTGTTACACAGAAAAATTTTTAGCACTGTCATTTTTTCCTGTGTGGTCTTGTGTGATGATAACACTTTAGAGTCTGAGGCTATAATGAGGTATAACCACTGAGCAACTAAAATTACAACTATGGCATGTGAAATTCATGTTTCTGTAGATGTCAGAGACCACAGTCTTACCTTTAAAGTAATGGTGTAATTTACACCTTTACATTGCATAGGTGCCTGTCATACACTCTGAGAGAGTGCACAGTGATTTCTGAATGTGTATGAACATAACTGGACCCTCCATAGGTAATGGCACAATGAGTGGAGCTATTTCATACTTGCACCTTGGTCAAATTCTGACCTAAGCAATTGTCAAAATGTGGAAAACTATAATCCTTACATATGTAACAAATGCCTTGAGCCATGGTTTTCTGGAATCTACCTAAACAGACTATAAAGAACATCAGTCCCGTTCAGTAATCCATCTTCATAAATGCATATCTCTCATCTCAGCAATGCTATACATATAAATCTCCAAAGTTACCTGAATTAGTTGAACAATCATGCAAGGTTGTGTATTATAAACTTAAGTCACTTTTCAGTACCTTGTCAGCTTAAGGCCCTATGATTTCCACTATTTTCTACATGTCTTAAAAGACCCCCAGTACAATAATTGAAGGTGCAGTCTTCACAATCCCAGTGGTACAGAGCTATTCTTACAGGTATGCAGTCCATTGCCATAGGTCATTTGATTGTATGCAATACAGCTTTCCACAGGAAACATTTTATACCTGAGTGATTCCCCTTTTCTTCTTAGAACACTCAAAATTCTGTATTTTTAAAAATACAGAAAGCTTCATCCAAGACAAACACATACACGTAGACATTTTTGTTAGGAACATTGATATTCATGGATTTGAAAGAACTAATCTGTCTTCACATCAAGAAACAGGTTTTCTCCTGCTTAGAGATAAATCCTTTAGCTTGGATCCTTGGTCTCCTATTACTCAGGTTTATATCATGCTCTTGTTTTTAAAATCAGCCATAGCATTTGAGTTTAAAGTAGTATGGCTTTCAGTTTTCCTGTGTGCATGTAGCTTAATAAAATTATACAGTAAAGAAAACTAAGTGATATGCAGCTTAAAGTGTGAACACATTTGGAAGGGATTGTTTATACTGTGCTGTGGAAACTAAAATGAGCAAATATTATTAATAGTTATCTAAGTTAGCCAGGCTAAAGCATTTCCCTCAGTATGAGTTTGTGAGGATATCCAGGATTATTAGCTGCACTTCTGTTTCGTGAACACTTTACATTGAAGTACATACTACTGCAAGAACTACTTAGTAAGAAAATTTGCTTCCTATTATTAGATATCTTTATTAATCCTCCACCTGTTTTTGTTTTGATTTGATTCCAGCTCTTCTTTGCAGCAAACAGCTAAATATTTATTTTTTTAATCCAAATAGCAATTTCCACTTGCAAGATATTAACTACCATCGTGTGTTATATGGGTAACTTGATTTTCTAAGTTAATGCAACCTCAGTTCCATTAGAGTAGTTTAAGCACAGAGGAATCTCAGTCAGTTTTCCTCAGTTCAAAACAATCTTCCTTTTTGATATCTCTTCGCACCTTCCACTTATCTCTCAAAATTCTCCCTGGATATCTGCTTGAATATCCAGCTTCTTTGTTCCTTAGCACTTTATTCTCCTCCTCTGCCTGCTTGACCAGCATAGCCCTCTGAATTGTGCAGGTCACAGCCTGTGCCAGGTGTTCAATCTTTTTGCATCATATTAACTTCTCAGGCAGCATCCAGCTTTGTCCCACAGTTCCACCAGGACAGCAGGCTATCCCCAGGGATCAGACTGTTCTTTGGTGTCTGTAAAGGTGAGGCATAAGCAATCAATTCCCTTTATCCTTTTGCCAATCTGGTAGGGGCCTTGTTGGAAATGTTGTCCCAATATCACCTCTCTTTCAGTTTTCCCATGTTGTTTCCATGTGTGTTCTAGCTCTGACTGTTTCCTTACTGTAGTATTTCCTACCACTGCATATGCATATGGACGACTTTTCCACTTCTGTTCACTTTGTCATCCCCTTTTTGTCACTTTTACCAAAGAGGAATATTTTACAGTAAATGCTAACCAAAAAAAAAAAAAAAAAAAAAAAGCAGTTTTACAGCTTCTGAGCCATACATTCTCATGATTTTTTGTTTGTTTGTTTTTCTTTTTTACCATTATTTATTGTCCCCTAAGTCACTTCTTCTCTCGTACGGATTGCCAGCTCTTTCTGTACTATACCGGTGTGTATAGGCCCTAAAACTAAATGCATTTTTGTGTCCAGGACATCCACTACAAGATCTTAAAATGCACTCTAGGCCTGTCTATCTCTGCTATGCACAAAACTTTGAACAGAGGCTGACAGCTTTTTCTGCTTCTAATACATCTCTGCTTTCTTTTGGCTTGTGATCAGTTACCAGATGATACAATCTTTCAAATTCTGCTCCTCCTTTTAAAGCTCATACCGTGTTACACATGCACTCACAGTTGCTGCTGCAGGAACTGGCTGGTTTGGACAAATCTGTACCTCAAAGACCTGGTCCCTGCTGAATATGCCACTCCCTCAGCTCAGCTGTTTCTTCTAAAAAGGAGAGGAGGGCAGATATTTCTAGGAGCAGAGTTGACATGTCAAGTAAGAAGTCAGATTAGGTTTTCTCTTTGATTCCCCTGTCAGTTTGCCTGGTTTTGTCCTTTATAGGTAACCATAATAAAACCACTGTACTCAGCTGCATCAGGAGAAAGGAGCAGAGATCTCTGATCACACAGGTCTATGATTAGAGGCTTTTAAAGCAACAACCAGCAAACTTTGGGCTTCCATTCGGTGTCCACCTGTCACCATCTTGCTCTGACTGCCTTCTATTTTCTCCTCTTCCTCTCAGAGTTTCAGACACTAGCATTATCCATCACAAAGACTGCCACTTAGCCTGGCAAAGTTTGCCTGGAGTGAGTCACAGCCAGATCACAGAGTGATGTAACTACTGTTTCTCTGCTTTCCTTGGATCATTAGCAATCCTGAAGTACCTGGGTTGCCCTGAATTCATCTATTTTACAGCAAATGGTGTAACTGTCTGAACACAGGACTGCACACCTGCTCTATTCCTTCCCAGTTTTCTATGGTGACTGTAGGCTTCCACCTACAAAAATTTTGGCAGAGACTTGGTGGCTCACCAATGTACTGGAATTGTTCTCAAACAGGTTTGTTCATGTTTTTTACTGATTTCTTACACTCAAAATCTTGTGTACTGCACCATATACACAGTGCTAAGAGTTTACTCTTAGTCCAGTAAATATTCTAACAGTCTAAATTATCTGATTAATGCAGAAAAGCCTCACTTTTCTGATGCTATAGTCACCCTTCCACAATGTGCCTCTAGGTCCTGAGCTTGGCAGTCTTCCTGATGCAGATGATTGAGGGGGCTTGCTTTAGGACAAGTCTTCAGCCCCTGAGGTCTTCATGAGAAGAACAATGATGTTCCTGTTACAGGATTCTAATTCCTCAGTCTGGGGTACTTTTGGTTTTATTTTTAAACTTTTTCCTTGCACCATCTGCTCCCATCTCATTGATTCAGAGCTAGTTCCCATATTACACAATATCTTTACTCCAGGGCTCTCAGGAGATATCTGCCATCCTCTGCAATTTTACTCCACTATTATACAAACATTTACTCTACTAAAATCAGTAGTTTCAGCAATATAAAACTGTGATTCTTAGAGAAGAATCCAAGAGACAGGTAAGAGACAGGTTGATTTTTCAAATTTGCAGTAGTTTTGCTGAAGTGCATAGTCAGCAAAACTGTATAAAACTGGAGGTTTTGTTAGGTTCAGATTTGTCATTTAGCTACTCGGTTAAAGCATCTATAAATGGAAGACATCACAAATATTTATAATGATGCAATATAAAAGTCTGTTTTACAGCCTGTCTGCAATTTAGTTTGTCAATATAGAATATAAAAAACTTAAACCCAGTAACTCTTTCAGTTTGTTCTGTTTTTGTAGAATTTGCCAAATTTATGTTAAAATCCCAACAGATGTTACAAAAAGCCTTATATCTGTGACTATTAAGGCCATGAGCAAATATGCTAGTTGTGCACTACTCTATTACATTAGCCAACTGTTGATAAATATGCTGTAGAAATACTGAAATATTCAAAATACCGTGTTCTGGGGAAAATTAACAACTATTTTTATGTTGTCCTTTATTCCAGCTCTTTTTCCTCAAAGAATTTGGAATAATAATAATAATTGTGGAAAGATAAATGATAATTATAATATAGTGTTATATAATATATATTATTTTATTGTTATATTATTATATGATAGATTTTCATGTATTGTTAAATATATATATTGATATAGATATAAATTTTTGCCTTAACATCAAACTTTTAGAAATTTAACATTTTTTTCAAACAGTGATACAGTTCACTGTCTCTGGTCAATCAGGTTGATAGTAGTCAAAAAGTAACCATAATAGTACACTATAGTAGAAATAGTACACTATAAAGTAAAAATCTTTTAAAAATCTTTGATGTCTTACTGCCATTAAAGCTTAGTCTCATGAACCACACCAAGTCCTCTCCTGACATATTTCTGTTGGTCATTATCTGGTTCTTTTACTATTTACAGTTAAGGCATTAATTTATGCAAATAAAGAGATTTCTTCATTCATAAGCTAATTGTCCTCACTGCCAGAATTTTTTGTTCTATTTCCTCCTTCTGTTGTTTCAGCTGCACACAGTTAAAATACTGAATTACTCTTAAAATCCATGATTTATCTTTTGCTTCTTGACCTATGGACTCCTTCAGCTCTCTCCTCAGTAACTCCTGTGTTGTCATCTGATTCAACACGTGCACGAGGAAAACTTACAGAGGGAGCTGAGTCATTCTCTAAATCGGGACCAACCTCCTCTGAACACAAAGTGCCCTCTGCAGCACTTAAGGGCAAGTATGACCTATGTGATTTTACATACACTGTTTTAGCTTCTCTTACTTTAAATTACTTGTGTGTCTACCTGAAAAGCACATAGTTTAGCTGTATCCACCAAAATTTTCTTTGTATCTGTATCATTTGTGTTACATAACACCAAAAACTTATTCATCCTTCTCACTTCTATGTTCTATTTCCTTTGGGGTTTTTTTCATTTCAAAATAGACTCAAATCTTCACTGGATTATTTTTCATACATATATGTAATATCTGTGAACTGTGACTACTTTGTTGTCATTCAGGAACCCTCGAGTCTCAAGGAACATAACCTCCTGTACAATCACATCATTATTCCAATCATTCCATTAAAAGATGCTCACAGTGAATATCAATCTGGCTTAAGTCATCCCTTATACCTAACATTTAAATAACTGATTAATGAGGACATACATTAGAAACCCTGAAAAGGAGGAAAAAGCAAGACCAAGTACTTACGTCTTATTATTTTCTTAGCTCTATAAAATACCTTACATGTTCTTTGCATTTTTAAATGAATGGACTTGCTTCCAGTCTTGTCTCTGCACCTGCCAAAAATGTATGCTCTGATAGGTTGAAACCACTCTAGCACTACTACAAATGATTAGAACTATGATTTTTTCATGTTTATGTCCAAGCTACTGGGTTACTTGCTGCTGTGAATAAGATTTACAGGAAGACTTTTTAAGAGCTCTGTATCTGAGTTGTATTACATTGCTTGAAATAAAACTTTTCAGCACATTTCTCCAATATCATTCTTTTCATGTTTGAGGAATTCTCCTGCTAGCTCTATTATTATAAATGTCTTTATGAATTTTGTAATAGCCTAAATTAGTACTTTTTTAGGGTTTATTTCCTGATTCATGTGCTTGTATCTTTATCTTTTGCCTATCACAGGTTTGTGGGTTTTTTTTGTTTAACACTGATTATTTTTTCTCCTTCTTTTTTACAGTAAGTCATTTGGCATTGATATCCCTAAGGAATTTAAAGTTGCAAGGAAGAAAATTGAGCCACATGTCGATGGATGAGATTGGCTTTATGATTTCTTCATGATCTCATTGCATGTTGGTGAAGGGACAGGACTGTGAAATATGAGATGCAAGTATCATCAAAATGTGTCCCTGGTATTGCAAGGAGTTGCACAAGGAGCAATTCCTTTTCTTCAAAATGAAACATGAGCATTCATAACTGTAAAAAACAAAACCACTGCCATTATGTTTCCTGTTTTTCTAATTTCCTTTCTATAGCATGAAGTATAGATATTCCTATTAACAATTAGAAAAAAAACAAAAATAAAATAAATAAAAAAATACAAGTTATCACCTCTTGTCTCTGTTTTTCTTAAATCTAGAAATGTTTTACAAATTTATCTTAAAATACTAGTCCAGTACTTTGCCCTGGTTTTTCATTTTTAGAATAAACTGAAGTATTTCAGCTTTTAGTGTCTATCCTGCTTGTTCACGTTTGTATGTTAGGGATCAATTTTTCAGAAACATCAAGACCTCTTTCAACACTGACACAGCAGGGAACTGAGGTGGGTTCTGTTGTGTTTCTGTAGCAAATTAAAATCATTTTATTACCTGTTCAGTACTCTGAAACATGAAAACAAGTATTTTTCTAAGTTTGAATCAGGTGCATTGTGCCTTTCAGTTTAATGTATTTTAAATGCTGCTTTGAGTCAAGTTTGCATATTAACTGAATGAGGTTTGACTGGTTGTATTCTTTTCATTCTTTTCAAGAAAAGTCTTTTGCATTTTATATTATCTCTGTCACTAAAAAGTATAAAATCTTCTCTGATAACTTTCCATTGTGTTAGAGAAGATTCAACAAAGCCTTTAATTTCTTTTGTCTTACATTGTAAACTGGGATAGTTAAAGGGAAAAAAAAAAGTCTTGCAAGGATATGGTATCTGCCTGTAAAAATAATACTGTCGTTCATGGTTAGAGGTAACATGCAGAGGTTATAGCTGCGTGAGCTATTTAAAAATCAAAAGCAGCACAGTCAGAGCATAGTTGTGTTTTGAGGAGCAGTACATAAAAGTTGTCCCTCAGGAACATATCGTTCTAAAGTGTAACCAAATATAATTATTTCATGTGGTGCCACATAATTGAGATGACTTGGAATTCCCCCTCTTGTAACACTTTTGATCTATCTGCTAAGTTTGACAGGGTAAGGTTAAATCTCCTTCTGCTATCATGTATTGGAAAATACTTCTGGTACTAAGAATAGCTCATTAAAGGTAGATGGAAAGTCTCCTTTTCTAATGTACATATTAATTACCATAACCCTCAGTGAATTTATCTTTGCTGGTAGAGTGTCATACCTTGCTGCTGTATCTAAGAAACTTGAGTTCCTTGTTGATTAAAACTATCACTTGCCTGGAATAACTAGATCCAATAAAGTAAAAACATAGGAAGTGGAGCAAGATTTTTTTTTAAATATACATTTCTGTTCTAAGGAAATCAGCTTTCTTTTTAGAGAGAATTGGAACTGAACACAGGACTTTTGAGTCAGTAAGCTCAGATGATACAATCCACTGTTCTTTTGGACCTCGTATTCCCTCTGCTGAATTTTTGGTTTGCAGTAATTTCTGCCCATTACCTCTTGTCCTATTACTTGGCACCACCGAGAAGAGCCTGGCTCCATCCTCCTGGCACCTCTAAATATAATCCTAAATACTTAGTAACATATGCAACCTTGTTTAACTTCCCTTTCAGCTGCTGAAATAAGACACTGGTTTTCTCTAAGTGTATGTAGATGGATGTCTGGAGCTTGTGAACCACCAAATGTGGGACTTGTGGGGTAACTGTCAGAGCTGCAAGGCAAACAAGAAGCTGCAGAGCACTGGGTAGTGACACTGCTTGTCTAAAATTCAGTTAAGGATCCACTGCTCTTAATAGGAAGGGCAATCCATCTGCAGAGTTTCCAATAGACTGGGCATCTCCATCACATACATCATCATCACAAAGTGACAAAGTATAGAAGAAAGATCTCAGTACACCTTCAAAGCACATGGCACTAGAGGAAAAATTACAAAATAAAATTTGCCCTATCATATTAGAGCTTGGCCAATTTTTTAGCAGAAAACTAACAACTATTACATATTTAAATACTTAACTGTGTCCACTCTGGGATTGAAAGCATTAATTCTTTTAGAAACTTTTTACCTGTTGTTTAAACTCTTTTCTGTGAATTTGAAATCTTGTCTGTGCATTATTTTGGTCTGTAGGTAGTCCACAGCTAATCCTAGAATTGCCTGGGTTGGAAGGGACTTTAATAATCTGAGACTAGAATTCATATCTTGAAAATTGAGTGCCTTTGTTTCCACTGAACTTGCATGATATTCCTATTGCCTGTGGATAACTAACACACCACCACTGCTAGACATTTTGGCATGACTAGTTCAAATGCTATTTTGAGTTGTTTTTCTCTGATGGTCATTTAAATTTTTTTTGTTTATATAAGGCTATGATCATCAAAAACCAAAAGGAACATCAAATTACTGAGCATGTTTTTTTACCAATTTGACAAAATATTCACAGAAATGTTTTTAAGCATTCACTGACTAGCAGACAGCAATGCCTTTACATCCGATAACACTGTCTCCCATGGGATCAGCACAGTTGCTGGACCTTGCTTCTACCTAATCTCCTCAGTGCACAGTCTCTCTGAGTGACAGGGCTCTGCCCACACATTACCGTAGCAGAACTCCCCTGAGACGCTCCCCTTTGAACCTGTTCAGCCTACAGCATCCCATATTCTTTATTTCTGAATATAAATCTCCTTCTCATAAGTGCTTCCCTTAAATGTCTGGATTTCAGTACTTTTAATTCTTCCGAATTCAAGTGTCTTACACCTACCACTTTTTGTTGGAGCCCAAAGAGGCACCTTTTTGTTTCTAAACTCATTAACACAGCAAGCCAAGGGATGATTTGCCTCTAAGTGGCACTTCTCTCCAGCCTGCAGTGAGTTGCACTGTCTTACAGAAGAAAGCAAAATGTTTCTCCATCTGTGGCTTGGTGTAAAGTTTATCCACTCCAATACATGAAGTAAGTCATCTTGCCAACAGTATGCCAAGCAGTATTGCCAAGAGTCACAGGTCCCCCCCTTGGAAACCATTGTGTTTGTCACTGCTGCTCTGGGGAGGCAGCCACCAGTCTCTTTCCCAGGCTGGGTTCATCCTGAGTTTGGGTTGTAAAACTTAAAACTGGAAAACAGGGCTGTAAATTGGAGAAAGGCAAAGTGAGTCATTCCTTAGCGAACAATTCCACCTTTTCTCTTTTCATAGCTCGTAATAAAGTCCTGGAAATATTGTCAATCACATTGCAAATCAGCCTGCTTCCTTGGTTCTTTAATAAATTGCAAGCAATTTCATCATGAAAACATTTAGCAGTTGAAGTGAGATATGCGTAACATTCATGAAAGTTATTCCCCCGTGTTCTAGGAAAGTCAGAAGCATATACCCTGCTGGTGAGCTTTTACTCAGCATAAGGAATGATCCAATTATGGCCCTTTACTAGTAGTTAGAGAAACCTAAGGCTGTTTATTTTAACTACTGCACTAACCAAACATGATTGTTTTTATTGCAATGATTCTTGGTAGTATAATAGAAGGCAAAAAGGGATTTTTTTTTTGGCAGACCTGATCCTTTAGTCACCTTAGGTAGGCATCTTATGTTCATCTTTCTCAAAGAAACATCTGTAGGAGTAGTGGCAGTCTGAGGCCTCAGAAGAGTTCTCAAGGCACAGCTCACAGATAAGCCAGTTTACTGTTGTTCATTTCCTATCTACTTCATGCCACTCTACAGCATTATTCACTTTTCTCACCCTCAGGACTTCAATTTTTTTTCAACCTGCCCTACCGAAAGGTAAATTACAGACCTTATTTAATCCTGAAGAGCGAGGATGTTAATTGGGTTGAAAATGGTAATGATGCATCTAATTCAGTCTTATCTGCGCTGCTCATCCTGCTCTC